CTCACAAGTCTAAAAAAATAACGACTGTTACAGATTCTAGACTACCCACACAATAATGAGTCCATAGTCTCAACCATTTGATAATGCTGTGATCTAGAAATTTCTTCCCAGTCCTGGCTGAAGGTATCGGCCATTTGGTAACTTTAGCTATGGCATGCTGGTCAGCTCGAGCATTGTGGAGGTAACTTTTTTTGCCCCGCGATACGCCGCCACTGGATCCCTTTCCAAAAACCATAAAGCTTGTTGGTCTTTAGCATAGTAGTAATCTTGTGTGTCAGTTTCATCAAAATCCGAGCAGTAGTTTCCAAGTTATAGAAGGGTCAAGGATCAGCGGACAGTCTGATAGATAGACAGACCGACGGAAATGTGTGAGGCTGTTTTTAGTGATCTATTGGCCATGTAATATCCAAAAGCATCTCAGTACTTGCTCGCCAGCTGGGGTAGGAAGTAAAAGGCAACACAGTATCGGCCACTGATTTTATGATTTGCAATTCTCCTAGATATGATAAGCTACCTCGCCAATCAACCACTATGCAAATAAGATGACCATATCCTTTATGTCCAGCTCTACCCATTATAGTGTCAATGTCTGCAACAATGTTAGAAACCATCGTCACCCAGGCCCACCAGCTTTAACTGGAAACGATATTGAAGAATAACGACCTCTCCATCACCACAATCACATATGCTAATGAGACGGTACCTCTCCAGTTACACAAGAATGTACAGAATCCAGTTAGTTTCTCAAACAACCGAATTGTTGTCCATTATACTCTCATTGTGACGAATTCCTAATACGTTTACGTTAAAACAAAAAACTTGTTCCTCCTCTCTATAAAATGCCTTTATTTCTATTTATTTGATTTCTCTCGCTACTTAAATGGCGTCCATTTACATATTTCTTGAGAAAAAACCTTCCAACAGTTGTGTGAGATTCTTATCTGCCCAGACTCTTTGACTCTCTTCAGGCAGGGCCGGACTTATCAATTTAAAGCTTCAAAACACTGGCGAAGATATTTCTTTTTATATATACCAAAGCGGTCGCGCAGGCAGAAGCCTAAATACCAGGGCACCGCGGCTGCTATGAGGACCTTAAAGGAGCTTTGTTGATCCATTTTTTAAGCTATCTAATGTTATGGACAAGGATTGGTTATATCAGCCAGTTCTGGATGTACGAAGTTAGACACGGTTAGGATAGGAGGCCTGTCAGGTCGAGATTCTGGAACAACCTACCTGACGAGGACCAGTTCTTCTAACCGTTCAAAATTTGGATTAACAAAGTATCTTGCCTCATAGAATTCCAGGTGCCCTGGTATTTTTTTAAGCAGAGGTCTTCTTATGTATTTTCTTGATGACTGGGGCTGCTACCCAATAAAAAACATCTACTGCTGCCTCCTCTGCGCACAGCAGCGTAACCTCGTTAGCATTGCTTGGTAGCTGAAGGTGTATACCTTATGACAGTCTTAAGCTAATGTTCTATCGATATCAGAGAAAAGTGCTTCGATATCAGCCATTTCGCCCCATTTTCTTGTTAGTAAGTTCTTAGGAAAGGCAGCAAAACGGTGCCAAGCTGCTTCATTTCTTATCATCAGAGAAACTATCGTTTCAGGGGTTGTCAGTTCTCCTATGCCACTGAAGAGGGATTGCCTTTCATCTGCCCATCTGCATCATCATTTTTGCCACAGTATAGGCAGGTAGGCTCGTTCACTATTACAAAGCGATGCAGATATGCTCTAAAACAGCCGTGTATGCATAACGGTTGTGTCAGGTAGAAATATACCTCTCCATGCTTCCTCTCTAACCAAACCCGGACGTCAGGTACCAGACGTCACATTCAACTGCTTCTATCTGACGTCGTCCACGTAATCTGAGTTGTATAAAAAAACACAACCCGGCCCTGCATCTCATCCGAAACCCGAGGATGTCGTCAGCTCAGTCAGCAGTCGCCGGCTACAAAGAAGAGGTATTTAACTTTTCTGATAATTTTAGACAATATTAATGACGGTGAGATGAAGAGGTTCGATAAGTGGAACAGAACTTATATCCAATTGCAGTTCTGCAAAAATGGCGTTGGTATCAACCGACTCTGAAGTGCATTAACATGTGTGTGGATCCTCCAGTACAGGGGCGTAGACTTAAAGAATAGCGGACGTCTCGGCCACTGGATTCAGAAAATATGTGTTTCTCTCTTGCACTCCGAAGCAACCACGCACGCAAAAGCCAGTGCACCGCGGCTACTATGAGGAGCTTAAAGAATCTTTGTTAGTCCGATTTTTGATATGCCTAAGGTTAGTAGAACTGGGAAAAGCCTCCCCATGTAGATTGTTCCACCATCTCGATACTGCGATGAAATATTAGTAGCAGAAATTTTATATGACATTACTTTCCTTATCGTTTTGCTTCTATAAAATTTTAGTGTGCATTGAACAGCTTACAAAAAAATCAACGATAAGGTAAGATGTAATGACCATACATGAAATTCGAATATTCCGTCCATCTTTTTACATATTTATATTCATCCACATCTCTAGTAAAATTGCTGACCTTCATAAGAAACCCCCTACGTGTGTCAGCACATTTAATTTTTTGTGGTAAAACAAAATTATGTGTGACTGATTAGGGAAAATGGCGAGCAGCGGTGGCCGCAGTAGTAGACTCTTCGGTCTCCTGATCAGTCGCCGTGCGCTGTGCGGGTTCGAGTCCCGTCCCAGGAGAAATGTTTCCCTTGGCTATGGATGTTGTGATTGTCCGTAGGTGGTAGATGGTCTCTGACTGTCGAACGTGGAGGTACCACCCGGCGGATCTCGTAGGCGGAGCCAGAATGTGTGCATGTTGCATGCACACGTGTTCCCTCTCCAGAGTCCGTGTGGCGTTCCCCCTTTCCCCTATATCCCCCTATAGCCAAACGGTACTCAATGGGTGTTTAGGCGTTAGGCCTTCGTGGTAATTGGAGTATAAAAAAAAAAGATAGATATAATATGCGGATATATTGCTTTATTCACTTTCTTGCTACAAATAAGAGTGCTGATTTGCTCTTCATTTTTCTACATCGGATGTAATTTGCAAATATTCTAATCATGCCTCATAATTTTACTCAAATTATGTTATAAATTACGTGGCGCTCTCAAAATCACACATTAAACACTTTTACGTTTTAATTATTAAGCTGCCTCCAATTTCATACATAAAATATACATATATGTTGACAAATCTACAAAAATGCGGTTGCGCCTCTGCCTCAAGAATTAGATCGACCAGTCGGATCAGGTCTCGAGGCTCACACAAAAAATATTTGCCATAATTATCGCAATTAATATGATAGCGACCGCGTCGCCCGCTGAGCTGGGCTGTCGATGCCAACTTGTAATTCCTAGTTTTATGGACACCGTAGCTTATATTAATAGCTGAGTTTGTGCGTGTTAAGACCACTTCACTTTATATCCATTTTTCTATGCATACTGGCTCAGTATATTTGTCCAACTTGGGTGTACACCATCAGCGTGCTTAGTAGAGTTTTTTTGCAAGATGACGATTTTGTAGGACATTTTAAGCATGCAAACTATACCCTATTCGTAGTCCATTTACGCCCCGGCACAACACAGATGTAGCGCGGCAAAGCGGCAGCCGCCTGAGAGGTGAAATAGCTATTAGTCATTCGGCCCTAAAACTACGAACAAGTGCAGGATTCGACAGGATAGAACTCAGGCACGGGGTATCGCCGGCACGCCGATGCCGACAGCTGCTGTTCATATTCGGTGCATACATAGCGTGTGTTTATACGTTAGTATGTCGTCTACGGATACAGCAGATGAAACTGAGAATAATTCTCTCAATTCTTCAGCCATGCTTTCTCTTCAGCGATGTCTCCTCCCCGAAAACGTGACAAGAAGGGACATTTGAATATTCAGGCAAAAGAAATAGTCTTTAACGTTTATAAGCACGAAATTTTAGAGCATCTTGAAATGAAAATTCATGATATTTAAGGACGTGTGGCGAACAAAACAGGCTTACCTCAAAGGCCTGGTTGTTCAATCGCAAGTTAACTTTTTGGTTAGTTAACTATCGCCAGGAATTAACTTGTATATATACTTGCAAATACGTTTTTCAAGTATTTTGACAGCGTCAGTTAACTTACCAGAAGTTCAACATATATTTATGTTATAGCCCTGTATCTGCGGTTCTTAGATATCGTGTTCTATGCGTTTTGTGCGCTCGGCATCTGTGTCCCGTGTCATACGTCATACATGACAGTTCGATTGAATTAAATTTCTTAAAACAGCCAAAATCGAAATCCGGAAATTTCATTAAAAACGAATAAAACATAAAACCTTCGTCAAGCAAGGTAATTTTTTTCAAACATGGCTCGTACAAATGTTTAGTAGTAGACCCTGTAGACGGCATTATATAAATGGTGATAAAAAAGTTTGTAAATGCAACGTCTAATGAACCATACTAAGGTCAAAAAACGATTAAGTTGTAAATATCTACAGAATAGCGTATTTTCCACTTTTGTAATGGAAATATATCAAAAAAAAGGTTCGGCTGTTGGATTTACAGATCAATGCATTCGCTAAGTAGAAAACAAAGGATTTATTTTGTTAATTTCTGGAATATTTTCACTTTCACTTTTTTTGTATTTCGCATTTTTGAGGATAATATGTTAGTTTAATAATAAACTGTTTTCAGAAAATCATGTTTATTTTCATTCTGTAGCTACAATAAATAGGGGATAATAAATATGTCAGATGAGAGCTATGGCCAAAACTTTAGGTGTCCAAAAAGATGGACTGAGTGCCCATTTTGAGGCTTGGGACATATATTTTCAAATGCCGTGTGCGCCTTTTTTGGACACCAACAATTTTGGCCACAACTCTTATCCACTTGCCATGGATTATCACAGATCTTATACTAAACAACTTTCATCTAGCATCGAGTCATTCACTGAGCATCAGTGAATGTATTGAATCGATTTACAAATTTGCAAAGTAATTATTAATAAGGTAAGTTCTAACATTGTTGATTGCATTTTGTGTCAACCTAATATTTACAGGATCTGTCTTCACATTATCTACATGAACCATGTTAATAGCATTTTCCTGTTCAGGACTAATAGGGGCATAGCTTCATTATTAGGATAAGCAATATTATGTAGCACTGCTGTTCCTAGAGTAACTGCTTGAGCTGTATCTAGATGAACTCTGAGACCCATAGCTAGACATGGAAATCTTCTTTTCCAAACTCCATAGCTTCTCTCTATAACATTGCGACTACGAATGATAGATTCATTGTATAATTCTTCAGCAGGAGTTGTAGTTGTATTTAATGGTGTCATCAAATAGCATTTAATAGGATAACTTTTGTCACCAGCCAACAAAGAGTTGCCAAAGTGACCTGATTGACCAAATTGTCTGCAGAGCTGAGAATTTCCGAAAATGTATGAATCTGCGTCAGAAACAGTTCAATGAAGAAAACTGCTTTCGATTTCTGAAGAGCTCTGCATAGCTTCCTCCGGGAGAAACAATTTTTATATGCGTGCAGTCAATTGCACCTATGCATTGAGGAAGCCCAGCTATATTATTTATAAAAGGATTGCTTTGCCCTGGCAAGAGCCTCAAGAGTATCCGGCATTTTTATGTGATTACTTCTTTTACTCGTTAGTACTTTTAAGAATCTTCGGACTGTTTTGGATGCAGTTGATTTGGAAACCGCAGCAAAATGTCCAGCAACAGTCAAAAAACTTCCATTGCGCAGTGCTGACAACAGCTGCTGTTGGGGCGTTAAGCAGTTATTCCTGGAACGACAAAGTCATGTAAAAATATGGAAATAAACAATAATATACACATATACCTGCTTGTAGGATATACTAAATCTTCATAGACCTCGTCCAGGAGAGCTTCTACAGTCCTTTTTGTAAGACGAAATCTTGCAAGGAAATCGAGGTCATCAAATTCATCAAAGTAATTTGGCCGATTATTTTTGGCCTTCTCGCGTCTTCGTCACTGCTATACGCATTCACGTCGTAATCCATAAACATGTTTATAGCTTAAATTAATCGGTAGATTGATATGGATTCGTTGTGATTTTTTGAATAAACGTCAAAGTTTATGTCAAAAAACGTCAGGTATTGCTATTTAACTACAGCCTTTCTAGTTAACTCATAGATGGTCTTCTGGTTAAAGTTAACTTCCATTTTACTATAAACATGATATTGAAAAACGCTTTTACATAAATAACTAGAAGTTAAGACCAAGGTCGTAGTTAACCTGCGATTGTAAAACCGGGCCTAAGACAATTTTTAACATTGTTTAAGAATATAAAAAAAATCAAAAGTTGTCTTCACCACACAGGAGGCAGCATTACACGAAGCTGTTAGATACAGTTGATAACTTTGGTCGGAATCCCATCAGACGCAAAGTCTATCAATTTATTGAAAGGCATGAACTTCCCACCATAGACAAATTATTACAGGAGGTTAATAGTGATGAAGACTTACCTACTTTAAAAAAGGACCACATTCTATAGTTTACTCAAAGATCTTCATTTTGAGTATAGTAAACGGAGAAGAAATAGTATTTTGATGGACAGTCAAGAGATTATTTTATGGCGAAGAAATTATTTAAAATCAATAAAGAAATATCGCGAGCAGGGCGGGAAGATTTATTACTTGGATGAAACCTGGATAAATACAGGGCATACAAAACCTAAAGTATGAGCTGACTCTACAATTGAATCAACAAGACAAGCCTTCTTAGATGGACTAACCATTGGCCTAAAGAATCCGTCAGGTACGTATATCTAACCAAAAATATGTGGCTACAAAAAATAGAACATGCCAATTTTCTGACGTAGTAAATTTGTTTTATGAAGCTGTCAACAGAGTGACGGCAAACCGTTGGAAAGATTGCATCCGTCACATTCAAGAGACAATCGAAACGAAGATGTAGGATCTGGACAATATGATCGATATTCAAACTGAGCCTGTAATAATTAATATTAACCATTTGGACGATGATTCCAGTGCTTCCAGCGAATTAAGAATGGCGAAAAGTATGTGCACTTCTTTATATAAAAATAGTCATTTATTTTGTTAGATTATTCCGAGACCATTGAGGAAAATACGGACCTTTAAAATCTCGCTTTTGGGCATGTTGTGTTTTATCTGGACGTAAATGAAATAGTATAGTCTTTTTTAGGTCAGATGACGATTTTGTAGGACATTTTAAGCAGAAAGCCTAGGCAATAAGGCAATATTCATGGTTTATCTGTTCCTACTTATTATCTCAAACTGTAGGTATGTATCTCCTTGTATATGGGGCCTTTTAAGTATTCCTATTATGTTATTATATTTATTATTAAAAATAAGCAAATGTCCAACCCCCCTCCTATTCAGTCAGTTTGAATTGAACTAAATTGCTTGTATATAGAAGCTTATTGATGAAGTTTCTCTGGCGTTCTGTTGTTGTATACCTTACTATCAATACTGGTTAAGCTACATCTCCCCTCATCGACAAGCTTGAAAAAAATTTTAGCATTTTAATTTCCACCAACCGTCACTACAAGTTGGGTCTGGTTGTTAACATAGTAGTACTATTTCATTCTAGTTATAGTTAAGTGTATCATCATCGCAGCGGAACACCTACAGTGTTTGTACTGTCGTGGACTGCACAATCAATCTTTTGTATTCATTTCATTGTTAGTTATTTTTTCTCCTCTCTCACTTTACAACTTTAGTTCCTCTATCCTATCTTAGAAGCCCAGAAGCCCACATCTCTACCAACTTATCTGCTTTAAATTAAACTCGTAAATTTCGTTGATATATTCACTGTTCGTTTTATCAGGATAATAGTGTTTTGCTTTCAAGTTGAGCGAAATCTTTGAATCAAAAATTATGGAATTAGATTGTTGGTATCTAAAATGAGAAGAAATCCAAACAATGCATTCTGCTTCCATCCAATTATTTTTTATAGGCACGGTCATCTACAGTTTTTAACAACGTCTATGCAGGTGCTTATTATTAAGACGATCTGTGCACGAAGAGGTGATGAAAAGATGAAATAACAAGCAGTTCGCAGATGTTGACTTAAACGTTGAAAACATGTTTTAGAATGTTTTATTTCAATAAATGCTTTACTGGTTATTGTAAACGAGGATACGGGTAGTTTTTCTGAAACGACTAATAAACTGGTTCGTGGCGTAGCGCTGGTGCACGCAAATAGTGGGTACCATCTTGAAGAGATACATGTATATTGCTTCACCACTCTAATGCTTTTTTCGTGTTGATAGTGTTATTGCTAAATTGTATTCCTGACTGAAACACTTGGTATTGTAGTGTGGAAAAGGTAACACTGCCTCTGCCAGTTTTGATACTGACCGTAAAAATAACTGGAAAATGGCAAGTATTGATGATTTGCAAATGTGAACTTTCTATTCGCACACAGTTAACTAAAATGACCATAAAGCCTAATCATCCACTTGTTAAACGCCCTGTACGTATACGATACTTTTACCCATATTTCAAGTTTCTCTTTTAATCCAGCTGAAAATTATTACACCAGTCTTGGTACGACTTTACCTAATATTACACGCACCGGTCAATAAATACAGAAATTTATTCGGTTTCTTCTGCTGTATAGGCTGGCGTTAAATTTTATCGACAGTTTTATCAGGAAACGCTGAATAAATACTGTTTGTGTGTATGTGTATCTATGCACTTCCACACCTTAAATTCAGATCTGTCTCAAGCGTTCATTTGAAAACGGGCAGAACGGGTTTTTACTGGGAGCCAGGAGATACTTTGATACTGGATGGTAGTAGCTGCAATCAAGAGTGTGCAGATATGGAATATGGATGTGGTGAGAATTTGATTGTGAGAAAAAATAAGGAGTCCTTTCCTCTTCAAATTCACTATGAAATATTCAGCTGGGGTAATGGTGCGCAAATGTAGGTCTATGAAATAAATGTCGATGATAGCAAAACCATAAGGAATGTATGAAAAGATATAGGATTTTCATAAAGAATTAAAAATGGCGTCAAGTGGGCTGACTCTGCACTTCCTACGTAACGCTGTCATCAGTTCATAGAGGATCTAGTTCAGCCCAAGTTAGTCCCTTGAGCTATGCAAACACGTATAACTAAAAAATTGAATGGATCAAGTCAGCCAATTAGTACATACTCGAAAGTCTCAATTCATTTGATAACGCCAACGCTAGCCTCTACCTGCTTTAAGTATCGATCATCTGGCAACGCTACTGAACCAGACCAGTCAAACACGTCATTCGGCGTATGAAAGTCGCCGGTGCACTGCATCGTTTATAAATATTTCTCTAAGTTATAAGGGCCAATCAGGGAGATGTTTGATGTGTGAAAGTGTACTGATAGGTGCGTACGATTATTGGGATTGACTGCTGTTTAAGCAATTCTTATTGTTCTCGTGTTTTGCCCCTAGCTCCGCAGTCAGCGGATCCATTTTCAAATACTACAAAGCTTTTTCGGCCCTGGCATAGCTGTAACCTTGTGTGAAAATATAATCCAAATTCAAGCATTTTTTTCCAAGTTAATATAGGCGGTCCAAAGATTAGCGGACAGACCAACAAAAATAAGTGAGATATTTTTCCGTAATGTACATGTCATGTAAAAAAACAATAGACCAAACGTTCATTTTAGAAATTTATCCCGATTACAATACTTCCCCGCTAATATGCGGTAGAATAACTATTAGTAAAGTATTAGCAGAAAATTTGTCAAATTTAACACTGTCTTTACGATCATTTCGTACAAAAATATGCGAATTTGTATGATCCGTTGAACAAGGATATAATCACATTTTCATACCAAAATCTTAACACAGATTCCGGATGGAAATACCGTCATCAGCAGGAATCGGCAATGTCGGAGGGTAGCAAATTTTCTTAGGGGGGGGGGACCCTAAAAATCCTCAAAACTGCTGAATTTGCAAGCTTTACGGTCCACGCTCCCCCTCCCCTTCCACCCTCTTGCGGGCGCTCATAGCTCTGTGCTCCTGGAATTGCTTATAAGCTGGACCCAGGAAGTTTTTGCAGGTCAGGCACCAAGTCTAGTTTGATCTAACGAAATGATAAACTAAACTATAGCGTGAAGGGCACTTGGCTTATCTGTATCTCACTACTTCTATTGACAAACATTGAAGTAAACGTAAATGAAAATATCTCTGACATTGACATGATTAAACCTCCTCTTCGATGCAATCACACCTACTTGATGATCAAGTGCTACGATTGCATCTGGAAGAAATCTGCATTCAAAGATATTAAACCGACTCTCTAGCATACCAGCACCAATAAACAACAGGCGATTTTTTCCAAAATGCGATTCCAATTGAAAGTTTATTGCAACTCTGCCTCTGCTGTAGGTACGCAGATTTTTATCTGGAAGCGCGAAACTTGAAAGCCGCCGCGCTCGAGAAGATTGTTCCATTATGGTCACACAAGGTTAATAGAAAATTATATGAACCTGTTAATTATAGCGAATCGAGATTTTTAAGTGAGGTGGTTAATGTTGAAATTACTGTTTTACGACGATACGAATTATCGTCTTTCTTGAAGTAATAAAATTAGTTTTGATATTGAACCGCAGGAGTGAGATTCACATTAAGGTGTACAAGTGAGAACGTGTATTTTGTGGTAATCTCATGATGCTTCGTGGTCGGTCATTGGTGAAGAATTATCACACCAGACCAAAAATTCTTTCACTCTTATAATAATAACGTGCTTAAGAAACTCAAATTCAAAGTAGTTGCTAAGCCGTAAGTACTACAATGAAAATCTTGAAACCATCTACAACATGTTATTCAACCAGTCCAGAATATAGAACACTTCCGCTCAAAGCTTGATTCTAGGGAAAATGATACCCAAACAAAAAATATATCCCGAGACAGTCTCGGTCAGATGCATGAGCACATAGACCAACAACATTTTTTGTGTGATTGGGAAGGCCATTTTTATTGATCCGTAAGGCTCCTGTTACCAATATTTTTTTCGTTTTTGTGTTAAACTCCATGAAACTGAACATAAATAATAATAATAAGTTTATTCACGTAACATACAATTATAACTAAAACTAACATAGGTATACGTAAATAAA